TCTGGTTATAAGGTGTTCATTGCTTGTAGGTTGTTTTTGTTGGTAGGACATTTCAGTGAACAGACCTAGGAAATACATGCTTTTTAGAAAGAAAAAAAGAATTTATTGCCAAGTGTGGTGGTGCATGCCTGTAGTCCCAGGTAGTTGGAAGGCTGAGGCAGGACAGCTTGAGCCCAGGAGTTCTGGGCTGCAGTGCACTGTGCCAATGGGGTGTCCACACTAAGTCTGGCACCAATATGGTGACCTCCCTGGAGCAGGGGACAACCAGGTTGTCTAAGGAGGGGTGAACCAGCCCAGGTCAGAAATGGATCAGGTCAAAACTCCTGTGCTGATCAGTAACGGCACCATGCCTGTGAATAGCCACTGCACTCCAGCCTGGGCAACATAACGAGGTTCTGTCCCTAAAAAAAAAAAAAAAAAAGACTTTATGTATTTATACTGATATTCCTAAATTTATGATTACAGGGTTTTTTATCTAGCTTTGTCAATTTTTTTTTTTCTTTTTTGAGACAGGGTCTTGTTTTGTCATCCAGGCTGGAGGGCAGTGATATAACCATGGCTCACGGCAGCCTTCACCTCCCCGGCTCACGGCAGCCTTCACCTCCCCAGCTCAAGCAATCCTCCCACCTCAGCCTCCTGAGGAGCTGGGACCACAGGCATGGACCACTATGCCTGGCTAAATTTTTATTTTTTGTAGAGATGAGGTCTCACGGTATTACCCAAGCTGGTCTCAAAGTCCTGGACTCCAGCGATCCTCCCACCTCAGCCTCCCAAAGTGCTGGGATTAAAGGTGTCAGCCATGAAGCCCAGCCTGATTTTTAAATTTGGATCTCTGTTTTTTATGCTGAAAATCTTGTTAGTAAGGACATTAACATCATTGTTTGTGCACATGTAGTAGTAGAGGATAGTAACTGCACACACACACAATTTCAAAATAACAATACCAATATAATTATTAAGAGGATTCCTAAGCACTGTTTAAGATTCCTTGGTACTTCTTCTTGTCCTTAGGATACACTGCACCAGGTAGGTAGATGAAAACTACTGTGTCTAAAATAACATGAAAAAATCCTTCAGTGTTTCTGTCACCAGCCCTAAGTACAATTGTTCAGTTGTTCTGCTATATTTTTATGTTGAAACATAACTCGTGTTTTATGTTTCAGGAATGCTTTTTTCCTTACTTGCTTAATTTTGCTTTGCAATTACATAAAGCCTAATGTTCCAAAGTCAAAACTACCAAACAGGGTACATCCAGAAAACTCTACCTTCCCACCCCACCCTCAGCACCCTTCTCCTGCCTTCTCTTTTTAGGAAACCATTTTAAGTTATTTTTGATTTCTTTCTCCCTTGTTTGTGCTTGAAAACATAAACAAATACTTAACTATTTTCGTATTTCTAACTCTTCTTGTGCCATCTGTAAAACTGCTTTTTGTAGGCTTAAAAATGTAGCCTACAGTCCAAGCGCAGTGGCTCATGCCTATAATCCCAGCACTTTGGGAGGCCAAAGTGTGCAGATCATATGAGGTCAGGAGTTTGAGACCAGTATGGCCAACATGGCAAAACTCTGTCTCTACTAAAATTACAAAAATTAGCCAGGACGTTGGTGGCATGCACCTGTAATCCCAGCTACTCAGGAGGCTGAGACAGAAGAATCACTTGAGCCTGGGAGGCAGAGGTTGCAATGAGCTGAGATCGCGCCACTGCACTCCAGCCTCGGTGACAGAATGAGAATCCATCTCAAAAAAAATAAAAAATAAAAAATAAAAAATGTAGCCTAGAGATTATTCCCTATGCAGTTCTCTGCTGTGTGAATAGCCCTGGTTTAGTCAACCAATCCCCAACTGATGGACATTTGTGGTGTTTCCTGTATTTTCCTGTAAATAAGGTCAGCATGAATGGCTTTTTTGCAAGTCTCTTTCTTTTTTTTTTTTTTGAGATGGAGTCTCGCTCTGTCGCCAGGCTGGAGTGCAGTGCAGTGGCATGATCTTGGCTCACTGCAACCACCACCTCCCGGGTTCAAGCGATTCTCCTGCCTCAGCCTCCCGAGTAGCTGGGATTACAGGTGTCTGCCACCATGCCCGGCTAATTTTTTTGTATTTTTAGTAGAGACAGGGTTTCACCATGTTGGCCAGGATGGCCTCAATCTCCTGATCTCATGATCCACCTGCCTCAGCCTCCCAAAGTGCTGAGATTATAGGCGTGAGCCACCACGTCCGGCCACAGTTCTCTCTTAAGGGCAGATTTTCAGGGGTGGGAGGGCTGGATCCCTGAGCGCAGGTGAGTGTAATCCCATGTTCATCTTCATTTCCTTGTCTCCCTCCCCACAGGAATATAAGTAAGCTCTTTGGCTGTACGGTCCACTCTTGCATCTCTCATTCATTATAGACACGCATTATCTGGTGGAAAGAATGAATCTCGCCACGTCATTCCCCTGCAGAAACCCTGCAGTCTCTGCCATCACCCACGGGGTAAAATCTGAAACCCTTTAGTGGCACAGAAGATACTAGTGATGGCCTGACCTCCCCTGGCCACACCCCCGCTTTCCGTGCCAGCATCCTTGAACTTGGTCCTCTGACCACGCCAAATCGCTTCCACTTCCCTTTCCGTCAGCACATGCTACACTCTCGGGTTACAATAACCCCGCCCCTCTCTGACTTGGTTCCCCAGGTGAACTCTTTTTCAGCCTTCAAAACCTAGGCCAAGCACCTGGATTTTAAACGTAGGCGTTCCCTCCACCGTACGGAGATACGATGATTGCTTATTTCCGTATCTGTCCTGCTCACCAGCCTCGAGCTGTAGGAGTGTGGGAGCCGTCCTCACCCATCTCTGGAACCCCCAGCAGTTAGTGCTATGTCGGGCTCAGAGCAGGTGCACAAGAAAACTTGTTGAGAAAATGAAAGGGAGGCTTCCTATAGTTAAAAGAATGTGGATGCAAAAGACCTGAGTTGAAGTCCTGGCTTTTCATCTGCCACCTAGGAGATCTCGGGCAAGTCGACATCTTAGTTTGCTTTCTGTAAACTGGGGATAATGCAAGTTCACTGAGGGTGGCCACTGGGGCTGAGGGCAGTCATATGTGGTGGAAGTGCTTAGGATATCATAAATAATGACATGGAAAAATAAAGGTGGTAACAAGAGCAGCAGGAATTCAGAAGAGCCAGAGCGATCTCAATCAGAGGCGAGGAGAAAGCTAGGGCATGGGTAAGGAAGGGGCATCGATGAAGGCAATGCATAAGTGACCAAGAAAAATAGTAGCAGCCAGGTGTGGTGGCTCACACCTATAATTCCAGCACCTTGGTAGACCAAGGTAGGAAGATTGCTTGAGCCCAGGAGGCTGAGACTACCAGGAAGCTAGGATCACTACTGCTCTCCAGCCTGGGCAACAGAGCTAGACCCTGTCTCAAAAAACTAAAACTAAAAATAAAAAATATTGGTCACTCTTCTGGGTACTTCTCAGTGCTATTTAATGAAGCCACAGCCCTATGGGCCCTGTGAGGTCATGTGATCATCCCACATAACTAATGGGATGCCTGAACCTGGGTCTGGTAACAAGGCCCAGGCACTATTTGACCAACAAGGTGGTTTGCAGTGAGGTCCCCTCTCTTCCTTCCTTCTGTCCTGGGAGCCCTTCTTCTTTCTCATCTCCTGTTTCTCTTTGACTAACAGCCCCTGCTCCAAACTCCCCCACTGATAAATTCTCAATGTAAGAATCTCTTCCTAGACCAGGGGTAGTAGCTCATGCCTGTAATCCCAACACTTTGGGAGGTCAAGGCGGGAGGATCGCCTGAGATCAGGAGTTTGAGACCAGCCTGGCCAACATGGTGAAACCCCACCTCTACTAAAAATACAAAAATTAGCTGGACGTGGTGGTGCACGCCTGTAATCCCAACTACGCAGGAGGCTGACGCAGGAGAATTGCTTGAACCCAGGAGGCAGAGTTGCAGTAAGATTGTACCACTGGATTCCAGCCTGGGCAACAAAGAGAGACTCTGTCTCAAAGGAGAAAAAAAAAGGCTGGGCGCAGTGGCTCACACCTGTAATCCCAGCACTTTGGGAGGCTGAGGTGGGCAGATCACAAGATCAAGAGATCATGACCATCCTGGGCAACATGGTGAAACCCCATCTCTACTAAAAATACAAAAAATTAGCTGGGCGTGGTGGTGCGCACCTGTAGTCCTAGCTATTTGGGGAGGCTGAGACAGGAGAATTGCTTGAACCCAGGAGGTGGAGGTTGCAGTGAGCCGAAATAGTGCCACTGCACTCCAGCCTGGCAACAGAGTGAGACTCCATCTCAAAAAAATTAGCAACAGCAACAAAAAACACCTCTCTCCTTTTTATTAATCTTATTAATTTATTAATCTTTATTAATCCCTCCCACCTTGATCTCTATGCCTTCACCTGTGTGTGGTGTTGGAGGGGGGGAAGTAGGGAGGGAGTGGCGGGGAGAAGGGGGGCAGTGGGGGGTGGGCAGGACAAAAGAAGGGATATTTGAAGTGATACAAAATAATAGAAAAGAAATTTTTTAATGACAAATTTCCAAAATTATTTTATTACGTCTAATGCTAAAGGAAAGGTCAGGCTGGTTTATAATTTAAACAGGTCAACATATATGATTTGATAGGAGAATAGTTAGGGTTCTATTTCCCTTAACTTTCTATTCCAATCAATTTCCACTGGTGATGTCTAACTCAGATCCCTTCTCATGAACTGAAGCCACCTCACTTCCTGTCCAGGATGATAGCATCTCACTTTCTGTCCAGGATGACAGTTTCCCCTCTTTTAATCAGAAGCTCAACAGCTGCCCCAGGGGGAGCAGCCTGTTCCAGACACACATGGTTTCTTAGACAGGGCAGGGTGTGGCTGCAGGGGACAGGCGCCTCTTCTGGTTAGGTCAGACTTCAAGCTAGTTAATATTGAATATTCCTCTTAGCTTTCCTCAGTTCAATGCTCTTCTTAAGTACTCAAGAATTTCCTCAATCTTACGTAGGTAAAACTGGAATTCGGAGCCTAGAGTATATTCTGTGAAAAGAAGAGTTAGTTGGAAATGGTTAAACCTTGTACATTCTTCACAAAAACAGAGAAGGGGGACGGCCAGTTACCATACCCACATCGTATTTTTGGGAAGTCTTTTGATTCCTTAGAATGCTCTCCATGTGCCCAGTACATTGTCTTTATGCGTCTTCACTGTGTTTGAACTCAGGCTTCGAGGCTGCCCAGAGCCAAGGGGTGGCGTGTTGACGTGAGCTTTACTCTTGGATTTTGTTTTCTCCCGTGATGCCTGGTGGCCCTTGCCTAAGGGGATATAGTATAGAGGTGTTTTCTAGTAAATAAATTGCAAGAGGTCCGTATTTGGCCATCTTGTTTTTGTAGCTGACCTTTCGTTTCTCAGGTAATGCCTTGTGGACGGGTGAATCCTATCAACCCCGCTGGAGTACAGTTCTCTACAGAGCAGTGCAACACCATGAGTCATGCAGCTGGATTGACCAGAGCCAATCACCGCTACATAGAAATCTGGGCCTGGCCAGGTGCGATGGATCATGCCGGGTAATCCCAGCACTTTGGGAGGCTGAAGTGGGTGGATTGCTTGAGCTCAGGAGTTCGAGACCAGCCTGGGCCACATGGCCAAACCCCATCTCTACAAAAAAATACAAAAATTAGCTGGGTGTGGTGGTACATGCTACTCCAAGCTACTTAGGAGGCTGAGGTAGGAGGACTGCTTGAGCCCTGGAGGTCGTGGCTGCAGTGAGCCAAGATCAAGCCATTGCACTCCAGTCTGGGCAACAGAGCAAGACTCTGCTAAAAAAAAGAAAAAGAAAAAGAAAGAAAGAGGGAGAGAAAGAAGGAAGGAAGGAAGGAAGGGAGGGAGGGAGGGAGGGAGGGAGGGAGGAAGGAAGGAAGGACGGGAAAGAAAGGAAGAGAGAGAAAGAAAGGGAGAAAGAAAGAGAGAGAAAAGAAAAGAAAAGAAAAGAAAGGGAATCTGTGTCTGAGGGAAGGTGGGCCAAGATGATGCCCAGTTCTCTGTTCTATAATGAGCAAAGGGAGGCCACAATTCAGGTTCCCTGGGGGTAAGGAAGCCCTCTGATGCTGAACTTGGAGTTGAAGTAATAAATCCTAAACAGCGATTCTCAGTGGACCTACAGACAAATCACCACATGGAGTACCTCAGTCTGGGGCCGGTACCTAGAACATCTGAGCCCCCTCGTGAGGAGACGCTAGAGTGACCCTCTAATGGAGAAAGCATTTCAGATGTGGCATATAGAAAGATACGCAGTCTGTTGGTGCCTATTGCCAGAATAGCGTAAAAATTGTTTTAGGGAAAGCAGGGGAAACGTGGCAACATTTAGAACAAGAAGACAGGCCAGGCACAGTGACTCACACCTGTAATCCCAGCACTTTGGGAGGCAGGGCAGGCAGATCACCTGAGGTCAGGAGTTCAAGACCAGCCTAACCAACATGGTGAAATCCCATCTCTACTAAAAATACAAAAATTAGCCTGGTGTTAGGGGGGCATGCCTATAATTCCAGCTACTCAGGAGGCTGAGGCAGGAGAATCGCTTGAATCCGGGAGGCGGAGGTTACAGTGAGCCCATGAGATTGTGCCACTGCACTCCAGCCTGGGCGACAGAGTGAGAGACTCCAAAAGAATTAGGAGACAGATGCATGAGTCTAAGCTCCCTTTGGTCAGCCTGCTTGCAGTTGGACCTGTTAAAGACGACATTGCCTTTGGAAAAAAGAATTCTTGCTGTTAATGTTGTATATAGTACAGTATGGAGAAATGATCACTATAGCTGATGTCAGTTTTTTCCTCTGCTAGTATTGTATTAGAGGAGTGAACTGTGTTGGAGGAAACAATATAGAAAACACCTATATCCCCTGTTAATTCAATAAGTGAACCAGGAAGGAAAGGTGGGGAGAAAATCACAAATAGGCCTTATTGGGGTGGGGGGTGGAAATTTAAGTTTTTTTTTTTTTTTGAGACGGAGTCTTGCTCTGTCGCCCAGGCTGGAGTGCAGTGGCGCCATCTCAGCTCACTGCAGCTCTGCCTCCTGGGTTCATGCCATTCTCCTGCCTCAGCCTCCCGAGTAGCTGGGACTACAGGTGCCCGCCACCTCGCCCGGCTAGTTTTTTGTATTTTTTAGTAGAGACGGGGTTTCACCATGTTAGCCAGGATGGTCTCGATCTCCTGACCTCGTGATCCGCCTGTCTCGGCCTCCCAAAGTGCTGGGATTACAGGCTTGAACCACCATGCCGGCGGAAATTTAAGTTTTAAAAGGTATATATAAAGGTGGGATAAGGCCGAATGAGGTGGCTCGTGCGTATAATCCCAGCACTTTGGGAGGCTGAGTGGGGAGGATTGCTTGAGGCCAGGGGTTTGAGACCAGGCTGAGCAACATAGTAAGATTTCATTTCTACAAAAAATACAAAAAAAATTAGCTGACTGTGGTGGTATGTGCCTGCAGTCTCCACTACTGGGGAGGCAGAGGTGGGAGGATCGCTTGAGCCTGGATGGTTGAGGTTGTAGTGAGCTGTGATTGTGGCACTAAGCACCAGCCTAGGTAACAGAATGAGACCTTGTCTCAAAAAAGAAAAAAAAAAAAGTGGGATAATATTGAGTAAACAATATTGATAGGATACTGATTCTACTGTATTGGAAAATATAAATGTATCAGGAATGGTTAACAGAATGGGCTGTAAAGACAATGGATTCATCACAACTTTACAGAAAGCAGACAAAATAAAGATGAGGAGGCTGTGAAAAATTTACATTCTTGCCAACACAGAGACGAGGTGAGCCAAGGACACAGTTGGAGCCTGATCCAAGGAATTGGAGGCTGCAGCAGAGGCTGGCCTGCCTGCACCTGCTTCCAGCACGCTGGGGTCTGGGGCCTGCGCCCCAGGTAGATGCTGTGAACAATATGTGGTCTAGTTAACTCCACCTTGAGAGAACGTATAGGAGGCGTTGGGGGTGGGTTCATAACACAGACTACAATGAAGCTGTGCAGGAAATAATCTCAGTGGGGTTAATAAGGTTAACTTGGCCAGGTGCAGTGGCTCACGCCTGTAATCCCAGGACTTTGGGCGGCCGAGGTGGGCACATCACTTGAGGTCAGGAGTTTGAGACTAGCCTGGCCAACATGGAAAAACCCCATTTCTGTTTAAAAAAAAAAAAAAAAAGCTGGGTGTGGTGGCAGGTGCTTGTAATCCCAGCTACTAGGGAGGCTGAGGCAGGAGAATCACTTGAACCCAGGAGGCAGAGGTTGTAGTGAGACGAGATTGTACCACTGCACTCCGGCCTGGGTGACGGAGCGAGACTCTGTCTCAAAAAAAAAAAAATGGTTAACTTGAACCTACATTCTTATGAGAGCTTCTGGATGTTGTGGTCTTTTTGCTTCTCCTGCTGTCTCTAGCCAAGACTATGTAGGTTATAAATCACGTAGCTGTCTCTCCTGATCGTCTCTTGTGTTCTACTCACTGGCATCCCTGCCTAGACTGGGAAAAAGTCATCACCCTCTGCCCAAGCCCCGTGCAGCTTGGCCCACCTGAGCCTCCCGCTACTGAAATGACTCTCCTTCCCTTACTATTGCCGGAAGAGATGGGTCCACCTAGAGGAAGGAGCAAAACAGGAGTTAAACTGCAGAACATGATCAAGAGTCAATCTCACTCACCCTGATTCGGGAAGTTGGATTCCACTACTCTGTGGTTCAGGGGCTGGGTCCTGCGGTAATCGTTTTGGATGGTCTTGTTGTGGTGATCCAGTAAGGAATTCTCCAGCTTCCAAACCTGGGGGCAACATGAGTGCATGATGGAGGGGAAGAGGCATTGGGTAATTTAAAAGAAATAACAATTGGCCGGACGAGGTGGCTCACGCCTGTAATCCTAGCACTTTGGGAGGCCGAGACGGGCGAATCACGAGGTCAGGAGATGGAGACCATCCTGGCTAACGTCTCTACTAATAATACAAAAAAATTAGCCAGGCGTGGTGGCGGGCGCCTGTGGTCCCAGCTGCTGGCGAGGCTGAGGCAGGAGAATGATGTGAACCTGGGAGGCGGAGCTTGCAGTGAGCCAAGATCGCACCACTGCACTCCAGCCTGGGTGATAGATCAAGACTCTGTCTCAAAAAAAAAAAAAAAAAAGAAATAATTGACCGGGCACTGTGGCTCACACCTGTAATCCCAACACTTTGGGAGGCCAGGGTTGGTGGATCACTTGAGCTCAGGAGTTAGAGACCAGCCTGGCCAACATGGTGAAACCCCTTCTCTACTAAAAATACCAAAATTAGCTGATCATGGTCATGTGCACCTGTAATCCCAGCTACTCAGGAGGCTGAGGCAGGAGAATCACTTGAACCTGGGAGGCAGAGGCTGCAGTGAGCCAATATCACGCAACCATGCTCCAGCCTGGGAGACAGAGCGGAACTCTGTCTCAAAAAAAAAAGAAAAAGAATTAACAACTGGGCTAGAACTCGGATTTATATAACCCTGATGAAGCAACTGTAAGAAGATCTCAAGTCCAGGGGAGATTCTGGGTGCTGTGTATCAGGCATTATTCCAGAACTAATCTATCCGTGCATTCTTCCAACAGAATCTCTCTTTTCAGCTTTTTATATGAGTATTTGTCCAATAGTAGAAAGGAGAGAAAGAAGTAAGCAGAAATACATCAAGTGGCAAACTCAATTTTTGTTTTTCTGAAAATATCAGGGTTTTTTTGTTTGTTTGTTTGTTTGTTTTTGAGATGGAGTCTCGCTCTGTCGCCAGGCTGGAGTGCAGTGACACAATCTCAACTCGCTACAACCTCCACCTCCCGGGCTCAAGTTATTCTCTCCTGCCTCAGCCTCCTGACTAGCTGGGACTACAGGCACCCACCACCACACCCAGATAATTTTTATATTTTTAGTAGAGATGGGGTTTCACCATGTTGGCCAGGCTGGTCTCAAACTCCTCAGGTCATTCACCCTCCTCAGTCTCCCGTCGTGCTGGAATTACAGGTGTGAGCCACCTCACCTGGCCTGAAAATGTCTGTATTTTGTCTATATCCTTGAAAGGCATTTTTGCTGCACATACAATTCTATATTGGCTATTTTTTTCCCTCAGCACTTTGAAATTATGTTTCCACTCCCTTCTGACTTTCACTGTCGCTATGTTGAATCAACTCTCTGTCTAATAAGACTCTTTTCATGATAATCTGTCTTTTCTTTCTGGCTAATTTTTAAATTATTTCTTTGTCTTTGATGATTTCACTGTGATGTGTTTAGTGCAGGGTGTTGTGTACACAAACACACACATATATATATACACACCTAGAGAGAGAGAGAGAGAAACTAATTGGCATTCTTGAATATATGACTTGGTATCTCTTCCTGAAAATTGTCAGTCCATATTTTGTCAAATCACGACTCTTCCCTATTCTGCCTCTCTTCTCCTTCTAGGATTTTGATTAGACATTTACTAGACCTTTCCAGTACACTATGTCTCTTCACTTCTTTTCATAGTTCCTTCTCTTTCTCTCTGTGCTGCATTCTAGATGGTGTTATTGGCCGTCTCCAATTACTAATTCTCTCAAACTGTATCTAACATGCTATCAAACCCATTCATTGGGTTATTTTTTGTTTTTGTATTTTTGTTTTTTTGAGATGGAGTCTCGCCCTGTCACCCAGGCTGGAGTGCAATGGTGTGATCTCAGCTCACTGCAACCTCTGCCTCCTGGGTTCAAGCGATTCTCCTGCCTCAGCCTCCTGAGTAGCTGGGATTATAGGCTCGCGCCACTGCGCCCAGCTGATTTTTTGTATCTTTAGTAGAGACAGGGTTTCACCATGTTGGCCAGGCTGGTCTAGAACCTCTGACCTCATGATCAGCCCGCTTTGGCCTCCCCAAGTGCTGGGATTACAGGCGTTGAGCCACCATGCCTGGCCAATTTTTTTGTTGTTTTGTTTTTGTTTTTGTTTTTGTTTTGAGACAGGGTTTTGCTCTGTTGCCCAGGCTGGAGTGCAGTGGTGCGATCTCGGCTCACTGCAAACTCCAACTCCTGGGTTCAAGTGATTCTTCCACCTCCCGAGTAGCTGGGATTACAGGCGCCCACCACCACAACTGGATAATTTTTTGTACTTTTAGTAGAGATGGGGTTCCACCATGTTGGCCAGGCTGATCTCAAACTCCTGACCTCAGGTGATCCACCTACTTTAGCCTCCCAAAGTGCTGGGATTATAGGCATGAGCCACCGCGAGTGACCTGGATTATTAATTTTTGATACTGATTTTCCATTTCTAGAAATTCTATTTGTGTTTTGGTACCAAGTCGGGATGTCCATTTTTAGACTTTTTTGTCCTTTGCTCATATTTAAACCTCTTATTTATTTATACATATTAAACGTTCTTATGTCCTATTAATTGTCTGATAATTCCACTAAGTGAAATCTTTGTAGATCCGATTCTGCTGGTTCTCATTTATAATGTCTTTTTTTCTCATATGTTTTGTATTTTTTTTCTTAATTGAGCTAATTTCAGGTAACTTGCTTTGTGAAAATTCTTCTACGTCTGGATTTAAGCTCATTTTTTCCAGAGATAATTTACCATTTGCTTTTGTCAGGTGTCTGGGGGCACTTCCAGCCTGACTGGCAACATTGTGGGGTGTGGGTGTCCTTGAGCAGGGGTCTCTTCCACCTTTCTCTAAGGAAATGAAAAGTTTAAGAAACGGAGATGGCCAGGCGCAGTGGCTCACACCTGTAATCCCAGCACTCTGGGAGGCTGAGACAGGCAGATTGCTTGAACCCAGGAGTTTGAGACCTGCCTGGGCAACATGGTAAAACTCTGTCCCTACTAAAACCAAAAACTAGCCGGGCGTGGTGGTGCATGTCTGTAGTCCCAGCTACTTGGGAGTCTGAGGCAGGAGAATTGCTTGAACCTGGGAGGCGGAGATTGCAGTGAGCCAAGACTGTGCCACAGCACTCTAGCCCGGGTGACAAAGTGAGACTCTGTCTCAAAAAAAAAAAAAAGTTTGGATAGATGAGGCACAGTAGCCCTGCACACAGAAAACACCGTAGGACCCCCCAGTTGTTGACGTTCGTTGAGATGCTGGGGAGCACCCTTGTTAACCAGGCAGTCAAATGGGAAGGCTTCGGCAAAGCGATGCCATACGTTACCTGTGTCCTGGAGAGCTTGACAAAATCCGCCAGCACAAACCAGTGGACGTTCTCGGTACAGGGAGGCGTGGTGAGTGAGCCGTGGTAGCTGTAGTAGTGCTGGAGGTTCTTCGGCAGCATGTCCCGAATGTCAAGGCCAGTCAGGGTTGTTGTTTGTCCTGACCAAGAAGACAGAAGGTAACAGGATGTCAGGGACCACCGCTGCCCCTCAGGAGGACAGCTCAGGCCCAGGCCTCGCCAGGTTCCAATCTCTCGAGTTCAGCAGAATATAGAAGCTGATGATTAGGAAACAATTTCCCAGTTTACTTCTCCCTGGAAGGGATTGAGGGGAGAGACTTTGGGGATAGACGCACTCAGACACCTCCTCCTGGCCGAGTGCTCTTGGCTGCGTGCTCGCTCTGCGGCCGTTTTCTCATCTGTGGAATAGTCAGCAGGATTGCTGTGAGGGTAAGGAGGTAACGTCTGGAAAGCAGCTGGCATTGAACCACTACATAGGGAAGGACTCCTAAGTGTAACTGCTGTGGTCACCATTATCATGGCTAGGCAGAGGACACATTTTATGATTAATGAAAGAAATAAATATGGCCCCTGGAGACTTCTGGGTAAGTGCCCACGAAGAAAGACCAAAATGCCTTGGTTTGGGCTCATTGAGAAGTGGGTAGACAACAGTTGTAAATGCAGAATCAGGCCGGATGCAGTGGCTCACGCCTGGAATCTCAACACTCTGGGAGGCCAAGGCGGGGAGGATTGCTTGGGGCCAAGAGTTCAAGACCAGCCTGGGCAACACAGGGAGGCCCGGTCTCTACAATAAGT